GTCAGTAAGATAGCTGTGAAATTTCAATGAAGAAAATGAGCTAATGAAGTGTGCGATAAAACTTTGAATGAGGTGAAACTGGGGCGCAAATGAGGAAAATACGATAGCGATCCAACTAGCCAATCCTATGTGACAACGCGTGGTCAAGGCCATTCCGCATGGTGTGCATGAAGGCAATGGCAGACCAGGAGATGGATCCGAGGTCACTCCAGGACGCAGGCAGAGCTGATAACGAAGCGACACAGATAAGGCAAGTACACAATGCTAAGGTTTAGTCGGCCTACAGCATGGAATGGAAATTCTAAACGTAGGATAACGACAGATGCCAATTTAGCGTAGACTACGACTACGGCTGTAAGCAGCATGAGGGGGGTGGGGTGGGGATGTGGCAATGTGAATGATTTCTCAATATCCTAGATAATGAATTAAACATGTCATTCTTTGGACCCCAACCCAGCTGAACACGTCGGAGAGTCGGACCATAGGTTGATAAACCAACCACATTCACGTTTCTGCAGGTAGCCATTAATTCGCAGTTTCTGATGCAGTATCTGCAAAAGACAAGGCGGCTAACCTCGCGTATAATATGTCGATGTCGGAAGGAATGGCACTGGGTTTAGGGTCTCCGCTAAGTTCAATCGTACCGGCTAGAATTTGGGTTTGGATTGCGGTTTAGATTTAGCGTTAAGGCCACGGTTAGGGTTGGAGTGAGGGCGACCCTGACCGTTGCCCTTTAACCCAAACTGTAACCCTAATCCTAATCCCAACCCTAAACTGCATTCCAAACCCTCTGACCGAAAAGATTGGACTTAACGCAAACCCTAATCGTAAACCGAGTCCTTAGCCACACATTAACCTAGACCCTACCTTTAAACTTGAACACAAGGTTGCTCTTTCTCGTTTCAACAAGGTGTAGGTGCCATTTTAGCATAATTCCGCCTACTCAAAACAATTCAGTAGCCCAACAATATAATCTTTAACAGGTGCGGCTGCAAGACCGGATATTACCCCGAAAGCATGTCAATCGAGTGCGCCAAGGCAGGGTGGGCACAGGGACGACCTGCGTTCCCAGTAGGAGGCTATCAGAACGACCCCCCAGAAAGATTTGGCTGCGAGATATGAAGGCTCTCGGGTGTGATGAGTAGGCAGCCTTGGATTGCGCACGGACCTGGCATGACGACTACCTATAAAAACGTCAGAAGCCACAGTGACGGCACATTGC